CCCTACTGTTCTCCCCTTTCCTCATTTCTCCCCTTCTCTCCATACCCTCCCATTTTCCCATCGCCCTTTTCCCCTTTTGGTGCCCCCTTTACTTTTCTAACCACCTCCCCCCTCCCAACATTTTGTAGCATCAAAGAGTCGCTCAGGTTGGAAAAGACKTTTAAGGTCAAGAACATTGAMTCCAACCACTAAWCSAGCACTGCCAAGCCCACCACTAAACCATATCCCTGAGTACCACATCTGCACATCATTTAAATACCTTCAGGGATGCTGACCCTACCACTTCCCTGGGCAATCTGTTCCAGTGCTTGACAATCCTTTCTGTGAAGAATKTTTTCCTAATGTCCTAGTTGTCCTGTTGCAACTTGAGGCTGTTYTCCTCTTACTGCTTGTTCCTTGGGAGACGAGGCCAAACCCCTACCTGGCTACARCTTCCATTCAGGTAGTTGTAAAAATCGAGAATATCTCCTGAGAGCCTCCTTTTCTTCAKGCCAAACACCCCCAGCTCTTCATAAAACATATGCTCTAGACCCTTTACCAGCTTCACTGCCCTTCTTTGGACACTGCTTTCTCCCTTCCTCCTTTTTTAAACTGATTTTTTCTTCCATCTCCCTTTCTTTCTCCATCCCTCTGCCTACCAAAGCCTTTTAGCAAAGGAGACTGTGCTCAGCAGCCAAGTGGCAGCAGGGGCTCAGCCACCCAGTGGGTACAAAGGCTGCAGCAGGAGCACAGCTCCTTTTCCCTTGGAGTTCTGTGGGTTGGAGAGGGGATCAGTGGAAGTGGGGGTTTTCTCCCTACTCTAAAAAGTTGTTTTGCAACCATATGCAAATGTTTGGTTTTAGCAGATGGCAGTGAATGCTTTCCTTCCACGTTTTACTCCGGAGCTCAGTATCAAKGTAGAAAGAGTTTGCAATAAGCTCGGTTGCTGCTGACTGCTGGTTGCCAGGATAGGTTAAACTCATGTTCAAGGAGAACTTTCCATCACAAACTCACTTGTTGCTCTTTCCTTCCCTCTATGAGCCTGGGACCCTCTCTCCCCTTAAAATTCCAATGAAGTGCCCAGTTTGGTTCATTGAAGTTCCATAAAATCTGTTCCCTACTAAAGGACAGGGATTACACCATGTAACCCTACACATGCATTCCTTCCACGTGTTGCACATTATATGCAAAATTTCCATGTTCATTGCATCTCCAGGAAAAAAAAAAAAAGAGTCCTGAAGAAATCTGACAGACCAAAAGAAAACAAATACACATCAGCAAAACTGGTAAGTATCAAGCACTGTAAATTTCATAAAGTTAGTCAAGCAACAAATTTGACCCATGGGTCTTCATTTTCTTTTCTGTTATTCATTTCATTTTAGTGCTTTCCTTTTTTAGTACTTCACAACTATTGTTGTCCTTTGCTTGCACTGATTTGCAAGTGGATCCAGTTGGCCAGCAATGGCAGGGAATGCTAATTCCATTTAGTTACTGGAAAAAAAAAGCAATAAAAAAATATGTTTCCCTAAGGCTTCAGCCCACAGTGATGAAAAATCCAGACTAACAAACATATTTTGTTAAAAATCAGTCTTATGTGTCCTCTCTTTCCCCACAGAACAAATAAAAGTCGGGAAACAGTGCACTAAGCAAACTGAAATGTAAATGATGGGCCCTTCCCAGCTCTGGTAGTTTTATCCCAAATATATCCCCAAGCTGGGGAGAGAGTGACAGTCTGTGCCCCAGAAGTGTGCAAGCCCTAATCACATTTCAGATGTGCCACGTACAGCCATAGCTAGGATTATTTAGAGTTGTGGGGTCAGTGACAGCAGCAGCTGCTGCTCCTGACCTCAAGGGAATCACAGTCCTGGTTAACACAAACTCTTGTCCCTCTGTTTCTCACTGGGGTTACTGGGGTGTGAGTGGTTCTTGGAGCTGCTGCAAAGARTTTTCAGTGCTGAGCTGACCACTGGCAGGCGTGGGCTGCAGSAGCAGAGGGAAATGCAGCACAGGCAAAGATAAAATAACTGCTCCTGTTAGGGATTACTTATTTTCCCTGCCTTTAGAAAGGAACAGCTGCTACTCAGGTTTGCCAGCACCCAGAACTCAAAAACGGTGAGTGAGAAATTCAGAAATAGGATGATTGTCTGTAAAACAGTCTGATGTCAAGGGAAAAAAAATTAAAAAGCCTCTTTTCATTTGGTCTGTGATTGCTAAGTCTGCAGAGATCCTTTTTTTCAAGCTTTTTCCTTGTTCCTTGAGGAGCAGAGATCCACTCTTTTTTTTTTTTTCTTTTTTTCTTTTTTAAATGAATGCTGGGATTCTAACATAATCAACTAATTCCAGGAGCTGAGGCTTCAAGATAAAAAGAAAAGTATACCATGTCACAAAGCTCACAATGCAATCTCATTGCATTGGCTTTGGCAGCRGTTCACTTGGCTCTGGAAATAATAAAGTGGGAGACTGAAATGACAAACAAACCGGAGWTCCAAACCCAAGTACCACCAGGGAATGCAAAGCAGATGGCCAGAGAGAGACCAGCCCAAGGAATTACTCCACTCTTTGCAGGAGGATTTCTGACCAGCATCTACCCTGGTGGCCTCCTTCCTATGAGCTTTCCTGGCATARTCTGCATTTTGATGTCCTTGTGAAGAATTAAGAGAAATAAAGAAGCCAGAAAGACCTCTCAAATGCAAATCTTTTATTCACCCTCTCATAGCAAATAGAGAAATGCAAGGGCATTAGAGAACCTGTGAAAAGGTCAGGATCAACCCCACGTTACTGTGGCATCTTGGGCCTACGTTGCTTTGATTGTTTGTGGAGCTATCACTGAGATATCACTGGTGTGTGCTTTCAGGAAGGATGCTTTCAGCACGCTCCTATCGAAATGTCTGCTTTGTTTCAATATGCCATAATAATATTTTGCCAAGAGAATGTATTTAAAAGTCGCAAAATWAAGTCTGTGCTAAACAGGAGCTGGCACAATGGAAATGAGATTTTTGGGATGCCCCAGAAATATGCAAGTGYGAGCATATGAAATCTCATGTAGCAATTCATTTTCARAAAGAGAAAAAAAAAAAAGCCCTAAATTATATTGTCTTCTGTCATATTCAGTTTGCTTAGCAGAGAAAAACACATGAATATCAACTGTGACCATTTGGACTATGCAGTGTGGTAAAGCACCCTGCAGAGCTCCATCAAGACCGATGCTTTCTCCTTATCCTCATCAATACATTGGTTTACTGGAAAAGAAAGCAGTTATTGTGGAACAGGTCTCAGGCTGCCAGCTCCAGCAGATTCTCTGTGCTGCCAAGTAAGATTTGTCTTTAGTCCATCCCCAGCTCCTAGCAGAGCTGACCTGTCCTCTTGTGCTTCTCAGCTGCTTTCTTCAATTTTCGCTTTTCTTACCAGTCCAAAAATTGCAATGTTTAACATGACTAATCCCTACGTGCTCTCTTCACGGGGAACAGGATTTTGAACTTTGATAAGAAAAGTTTTTCAACAAGCACCTGGAGCTAAATCCTACCCACCATATTTGTGGGTGTTGCCCCATTACCTGCCAGTTTGAAATGAGCAGGATTTAATCATTTGGGGATGACAGTGAATTACAGCCCCTGGTGCAGGAGTGCAGCACTCCCGCCCCGCTCTCCCAGCCCGTCTGCTCACAGGCTGGTGCATCACTGGAGCACGGCCAGGCAGCCACAGAAATGCAGTGAGTGAGTGAGTTCTTCCTTCCCTATCAGCTAATAAAGATAATTACAAAGGCCAGCAGATATTCATTTGGGTTCAGTCCTTCTCGCACTCAAATTAATGTTGGTTTTGCCATTGATGCTGATTTTAGGAGAAGCTGGCCCAATACCAGAGAGCTAAAATTAGATTGCTGCTGCCATCTCCCCCGTGCCAGCCAAGGGAGCTACTGGCCCAGCCAGGAGTCAACACTGACTGAAGAAACAGCCCAGGAATCCTGGGAATGACTCTGATGGGCTCCAACACCTACAGCAGGAGCTCAGGGACCCCACAATGGTCCAAGTGCCACCTCCACCCCACAACACCACAGCCAGGCCCCTGGGCATGCTCTCATTTGCCAAAACCAGCACTAAATGAAGGCAGAGAAGGAGACACACACAGARAATCTTCATCCCCTTGGKGCTCGGAGCCAGGGATGRCAGYTCTTGGTGAGGRTACYCACRGATKCCCACACCCATGTGTGACACCCTGTGCTGTCCCCAGACACTTCCTGCATGGGGCTGGCAGATTTTTATCCCCTTCCCACAACACCAGCAGTGCTTGTTATCAATATTGGCGATGCCACTCGAAAAAGTCAGGGGAAATCCATCACGGCCCGTGAGGTTATTCTGGTGTAACGAGCAGCCCTTGTATCTCATTTTTCASCAGTGCAGCTCAGCCCTTACAACTCCATTTCTGTGCTGCACAAAGCCAGGGAGGCAGGGGCTCAGTGCAAAG